AGCAATGCAATGACGATGATGATGCCAGGGACAAGCTCCTTCATATCTGCCGATCTATGCTCGTCTTCAGTCTGTTTTTTTGGATTAGACAGGTTCCTCGCGCTGTTTCTCACTCGTCTATGTCAGTTTCCTTTACTTTTGCTTTGTATTTTTCTCTGCTCCTCCTCGCCACCCTCTCGGCTTTTTCGGGTGTCAATCGTGAATCTTCAGACAGGGATTCTACGGCAAGAGTCGACCAGCCTATGAAGACCTGTATCTATCCCCCTATATTTACTGCTAACGTTGCCAAAGTCTGTTACATTCAACATCCTGCATATATCTTCGTTTAACACGGAGACGCACAAGTTCACGCTTACAAAAACACCGATGCGCTTCTGTATAGCTTCTGCCGTTTGACGCGCTATTTGAGCGTATGATGTGACTGTTCATCATAGCAATGGCTATGCGCGTTACCATCAGTCCGTCATTGCAATCCCACTTAGTTTCAGCTACGACAGGCGCATTTTAGCAATATTGAAGCACTTAGCAGTTAAGTATTTGTCTAATACATACATACTCATATGAACGGGTCTAGCCGACCCCCGTACAGGATTGACAAAAAGACCCTGCGTGATGAAACATTAATAGCAATAGCAATAATTCTCTATTTTTCTTTCTTTCTCGCAGGAACAAATACCAATATTACCTGATAAGGTTGCTGTTTACAGGGTATCGTATAGTTCAATAGATAAGCTACTGGCTTTTTTAAATCAATCAAGCGGGAAATACTACATTGGAGTATACGCAATACACTGTTAAATGAATAAGCTACAATGTGCCTCGAAGGTCTGCTTCATATTATCATTTTAGATCGTTTCAAATTCAGTGGATATCTTCATAATGTCCTCAGTGATAGAGTCCTCAATATACGGTATGCACAAGGGCCATATGTTCACAAACCCATTTTTACTTCCAGTTATACAGCAACCCCAATATGCCGCAAACTAGGTGCGATATAGTTATATTCAATACAGTAAAACTATATTTGATATATGGAGTTATCTAACATATATTGACCCATTTCAAGCTTCGTAAATGATTGAAACCTTTAACGTTGTCATACTTTTTTCCTCATTCAGACACGAAACCCTCATCCAAATGAACGCATTTGTGATTACTGATTTCATGCATTGAATCAATGGCATCATTATGTAGCGCCCACTGGAACTATTCATTTCATCGGTTGAAGTCGTCAATGCCTGAATTATTGAGCTGGATGATTTCCTGGCTTCACTTCACGGATCGCACAGCTGAAGTCTGTGTTCGATCGGAAAACGCACATCCGACATGCCATGACGCCGTGCAATCTCAATGGCGGTACAATTGTTCGGATGCCCTCGTCGGCCAATGGCATGAGTGCATCGGTCTTATGACCACCTACACGATTCACGGCAAAACTTATGGGACTCAAATAGTAGTGAAAGAACGCAGCATTGCTACGTGCTTGAGTCTATAGCCGTCCATTGCCGATGAACGATACGCGACGATCAGCCGGACTGATTTGGTTTCTTTGGTTGGCCTCTAAACACGGATGGGCAAGTGTGTGCGGGTATTCGCCAATCAACAGTCGATGACGTGGTCAGAACGAAAGTGATGTGAAATCAGCCGCGACAACGTCGTTCCTATTATTGCGTTACTGATGTTTTTCGAAGCACAATTGTGTGTCCTTTTTCTATTACAGGAAAACATTTTGGGCTATTTCATCAACATGGCGCTTTACGACCTCTCACGCTCATCCTGTGTCTTTTAACTCTTCGTTGTCTAGTTTCATTCCGATAACGATCTGTCCTTTTTGCATGCATAGGGCCCAGCATCCTCTCGTGGCTAGAAGGTACAGCGGCCAAGCCACAGATCCCATGCTTCAACGCGTAGCTAGCTGGCTTCCCTTAACTGCCCCGTGTTCATAGAGACGCTGAAGTGCAGTGGTTGCTGTTATCTCACATATACAATATATTTTTGTAACTATAACAATCTAAACCATCCCGTCCTGATTTCAATATATTCACATCACAATTGGTTAATTCACGCTTGCTGAAGTTATATATGTAGCACATATCTGGCTACAATATTGTGCTACTGCTTTTGGATGTGGCCATGACGTTAGCATCAGTCTTACGATCCTTCAGTGGGCCTCTTCCACATAAACGTATACAGGGTTCAAGAAATGTTTCATAAAACAATATTGGAAGCAGGTTTCAACGAAAATAGGTAGACCGCCTAACTACAAACCGTGCGTCTGTTCTCATCCTCTATCACTTTTCAATGGTGTTTAACTTGATCCCGATTGGTATACTGTCGAAAACCTCTCTTCCTTTCCATCTACCTAAAATGCGGACACGTGGCTTTGTCCATAGATATAGAATAACAATATTTACGATCAAGACATATACTAAGTGGACGGCCTCGCGCTGATTCCACCATCCGAAGATTTAAGTAGAATTACGTACGGCTCGATAATGGCTTTTCAAGTTCAGCAATGCTGGATATGTAGGTACATCAGTAGAACACTTTTATGGCACAGGCGGGGGAGCCTCCTAGGCCATTCGTTTCTATTGGACTATCGACTAGTCCTTCGGCAATCCTGAGGACTTCGTTTGCCACAAAGGTCAACTTTTATATGCGTATGTGTCTGCGTGTGAATGTGCGTATTGCATATAAAGCAGGCGATTTTCAAATTTTTTGACCTTAAATCCGTATTATGACGCTGGATATATTCATAAAAATACGAAATTAATAATGGTCCAATCTTCATCTCGATCTAACTCTGAGTAAGGCCTCCCAGGATCACAGGCAAATGCTTAGAAGTGTTTGATATCGTACCTTATGTTCTACATCTGAAATCTAATTATACAGACGTACCTCGCGTTCCCTTAATCAATGGTAAATTCATTAATATCGCGTGTATGATTCAACGCACCTTTGAAGACAGTGCCATCGTACACTCCGGCGCGACCGAACGCAAAAATAATACCCCAATTGTTAGTAGATAATCAGAACTAGCAGTAGCGAACGATAAATAAAATAGTTTTAATAATTTATTAAGAAGAAACACTACGAATGCACGTAGGTAAAGCTCCACAGCTACAGCAAATAAGTTTACCTTAAGTTACGGAATACTACTTACTAGAAGCCTGAAATTTCAGAAGCGTTCATTTATAGTCGGCTCTTGAGATGGCCTAACATCAATGAAGAAAGCTTCAATTGTCGAATCTATCATTGCATGGCAGGCGTGCAACAAGTCACATAAAGCAGTACGTCAGAGGCTAGACGCTATAGTCCGCTATGAAACCTAGGTAGAGCAGAACTATCCAAAATTTTTTAAGCGGTATCGACATTCGGAAGCGACCCTGACTAGCCATTATCGAAACTTTACAGCCTTTTGTAACTTTGTCTGTTGTTGGCAGAGTACTCTAGTCTACAGACGTGCCGCTAGTACATGTGTATATGTAGTTAAATAAGCCTGCTTAAGGTAGCATGCTTAAGAGAATTGCTCCGAATCCAACAAGATCAACAGCATTAGTCACAACAGCAAATATAGCGAGCGTCGTGGGGAGCAGTAAGCGGCTGCGGATTTGCGCTGTTCACGAACATACATACATACATACATACGTCGAGTGGCATACAATTTTAAATACTTATTTAATTTTTGCTTAGTTGAGCTTTTTCGTGTCGATGACAGGTGCCTTAAGTTGTTTCGCGATGTCCGCAGACGGCTCATTGTATGCTTCATTGTACAAGCTTTGCTTCTGCCGTCACTCCTACTGTCACTATGACTATTGTCATTAGATTTTTTGGAGAGCTAAGATGAAACCGTTCCTTATATTTTCAGTCCTAAGTCCTATCATCAGAAGGCCGCCGACCAGCAAACCGAGAGGTGACAATAATGATGACAAGACAGTGACCAAAAAGGCAGAAATGGCAGCGATACATGTAGGATAAACTTAGGTATAAAGATATAGACAGACAGCTTTAACTTTAAACAAACGCAGTAATAACACAGAGCGAATGCGAGATATTGCATTTCAATGCGATATTGTTTGAGCGTGTGCTTTCTATTCGTCGCTAGATGAAGTATTCAAGCATCCACACGATGAGAAAATGAAAAGTGCTGATGATGTTTGTGTTTATTGTAGTCATCCTAGTAGCTGGTAGCACCTTGCGCTCCTTTGTGTCCTGCTGTGGATGAAGTGGACAAAGGATGGAGGAGTCTTTGCTCCGAGTCTAGCTCATCCTTGGACTTATCGTTGTCGACGGTAATGCGTGTACTCCAATGCATTTTTTACTGCTACCAAAAAATCTTTGTCATTGCTGTAACATATTTATGTATATTGCATCTTTGTGCTACCGTGCAACTTTAGGAACGACCAAAATATGTATTATTATCTCACGCATAAATGTAGAGCATACGAAAGGAGCTCTAGCGCGCCAAAAATGTGTGGGAGACCTCGCCGTGCCCCCATAGCGCACTCTAGCTGTTGGCATTCTTTGTCGCTGGTCGTGAACCACTAGAATCACACAGGGGTGTAACAGGGTACCTCCACGAGGGTACGTCTGCTAGCACTCTGCTTGTCAACCGGCAACTAGGCGACCGTAAAGGGGTAGTGCTTTGGTGAATAGCTCGGCAGATAGACAGAAAGCGCAGGGCATAAAAACGCTCGGCCACACGAAGAGGACCCATCCAGGTTTAAGCCTCCAGATGGTGGAGGTCCCTGATGAAATTTTCGACGAAAATGCTTAATTGTACAGCGTATCGTTTATCTTTGCCGTTGGCTGCGACCTGGATAGTTGTATTCAAATAAGCTTGCCTATCTGTTGATTGCTAGTACAATAGCTACAATTAGTAACATTAGAAATAACCAGTTATATATTACGGTGCTGGCACTGCAACGGAAGTGTAAGTTGGCTTTTTTTTTCGATTCGATTTAATAGTTAGATTTAAAAAAAAACAAAGAATAACTTACTTGCACTTACGGCGCAGCTACCCCTGGCCAGCGTGAAGAGCATTACACACCTGCAACAACAACAGATGTTCTAATGAAATATAGATGATTAGCTATTAAAGTCTTGAAGTTCCCGCCAATCGATTTAGTTCTCGACTATGGTACGCACTAGGTGCTACGCTATTAGGACAACAAAGCTTCATAGTAATAATGGACACACTTCTAAATGCCTAGTGCTATTTCCAGGATGAACGTCTTCTAGGCCGAACGTATATGGATCAATAGCATATTCAACTTTCAACTTGTGTACATTATAAAATAACGTAAATATCGATATACTAATTCGGTTGTTAATCGTAATTAACAGAATTATTGAGATTGCATAGCGAATCCTGCCGTTACCAGGAGCGGCAGACAAAAGGAACGTGAGCAAGAATCTTTCAGGGCATACACTCGCCCACACGACATAATACCCATACAGCTCTGTACATGTATCTCGCATTAAAAACGACACTAAAATAGAATAACCGAAAAACAATAAGGTCGCTGGGTCATCGTATCGTATTCGATCAGTTTGATAGACCCAGCCAGAAGACGCGATCTTCGTTGGTAGTAATCGTTCGTGATTCGTTACATAAGCTGGGTGGCCACATTGCCGCAAACAGATGATACCTTGACTTGGGGAACCGTGTATGACTCAGCTACAATCAGTTTGGTGTGGCTGTTCAAAACGATTGGTGTCACAAGGGACGATAGCATTGCTCGTGATGTTAAATAGCAGCAGTGGCATTCAGTGGGAGACGCTGAGATGTCGAAAAGGGGCAAATTTTACGCGTACAGGTAATATCACGCGTTGTGAGCGTTCTTGCTTCGTAACGATGTGTTTGTCGTAAATCAACAGAAGCAAGATCCATGTCGTGGTATATTTGTCAAAATGTTGTCCGTTAATTCGTATAACGTTCGTTTCACACCCCCGTGTTGTAATCGGTTAGCGTAACGCTTATTAGTAAAGTCGTCGTCATGAATTTCATCTTTGCATAAATGTTTGGTGATGCTACGGTATATGTACAGGAAAAAGTAGAGATGATACTACGATACCATATGCATCTATGACTTAGTTGACGTTCTCGGAGCGAACCGCGACTGAAGCAAACCCATGTTCACTACGCAGGCCAACTCTGATCCGCGCTGTGCTTTCGTACCAAAGGAGCCCTAGTTTCGATAGCTGAGCCTGAAAAACGTCATGGGTGATGCGACGATAATTGCAAGGCCATTTTAGATTCTAAATGAACTTTAAGAGCGGTAATTAGGCGGGGCGGTTAAGGTAATTAAGGACAAAACGCTACGAAGAGACTCCTTTGCAAACAGACCAGTAGTATAATTTCTATATTCGTCTGCTTACACGCTCCTAGTGCAGGCTTAAATTTATCGTCCTTCGTCCGCTATATGACACACGACAGTCCCGAGTGTTCTGTCATGAGGTGCCCAATAATCTTACTACACTTTACAGTGTTCCCCAAATAAATCGATAAATCGAGAGAAAGATAAAAACAACAGCAAGGGTTTACAATGATGAACAAATGCTCTAATCCTATGCTGGGGTTGCAAAATTAGAAAATGAACTCCCTTTCTTTCTATATAAAGGGGCCAATCCGCAGAGCAGTGCCACCCCCCTTTGAACTGCCTGTGTAGGGAGTTCATAGTGTCGTTTTGAAGGGAGAAAGAGGTTTTTGAAAACTGGGCCTAGTCGACGTAGACGAAGATAGCCAAAACCCGGAGCTCTCGTAGAGCCTCCCGCTCAGACTGGGAACAGACGCGTCTAGACGGCATCCTCTGAACAACTGAAGTAGAGAATAGACAGAGAGAGAGAAAGCTCGGGTTGGTGCAGCGATTCCTCTACTTAGAGGCAAAAACTCTCCGGGAGGGGTTTTTCGTAGAGCAACTGTTGGGGTGCGGGGGTAGCTACAGGCAATAGGCCATCGAAAAGCATCGTGACAGCGTCCACACACAGTCAGTTCTGGGGGTCAGCGTGCTGAGAGTGCTGTTCCTATCCACGTTGTTTAACAGGACTGGCCGATAGCGCAAAAATGTCCACGCACATTCAGGGCGCTGAAACACAGACACACACACACACACACACACACACACACACACATACACACACACACAGCATAGGTATGTCGGCGATTTCGGCAATAGCAGGCCACAATCTAAAGTAGACACACCGCAGCCAGTTGCTCGGGGGTTTCTAGTATGCAAGTGCATATGCACGAAAAAAAGCGTGCGTCATCAAAGTCGAGGGGATGTTCGGGAGATAGGGGTCTTTGCGGACGTTTTTGCATCAGCGTTGTGTACACGCGTCTGTCTGAGCAGAACGGGTGAGGAAGCTTTGGAGGTTGTTAGCTGTTGGGTGTATCATGGGGTGGAGAGCGACAGGGAGGCGGGAAGGCGTCTGAAAGACTTCGTCTGCGACGCTCTTAGTTGAAATCCTCTGGCGAACTCTTGATAATGTTGCTTTTCTCGTGGGTACATCTGGCGCATCTGAAGGCGATAGAATATGCTGACAAAAGCCTCCTGTCCACTATGCTAGCGTCTGGCGTCTATCGCTTACTCTTTACCCCGCTTCGACACAGTGCGCTAGAAACGGCGCCGCTCGTCGACCAGCACTACAGCTATCGTCTATGTTGTTTGCTCCTATTCGTGCTACGATTCAAGATGGATACAGCGGATAATGGTCACCAATCGTGCCCATACAAACACAGGGGCGACGAACGGACAACCCCTTCAATGGCTATTTTACCTTCAACTACAAACCCTTCAATACTCAGTTTTGTTTCAAGATACACAGACGCGCACTATCAAATCGATCACGTTTGAGTCGACCGATCAAACGTCAAATACCTTCAACCTAATATATAACGAAGTTTGTCTAAGCAACGCATACATTATTGATATAATATCAACGCTTGTAACAGTTCGGTATCAGTAAGTTGTCATGGCTAACACGGAGAGTCGTTTCATGTTCAGCTGCCTATTTCATTAATGTCTAACGCCTCAAATACATGCTCGGCTATAAAAAAAAAAAAAAATGGACAAATCGTGTCAAATTCATGATTTGGCCAACATACATACCGCTACTGTGTCTTGGCTGGGGCTGTGTCATTCGTTGACTGACGATTACGTTATCCATTCCGATTTAACTTTGTATTCTTTAAGTCGGCGTGAACACGTACCTGACCCCATGAGAGTATTGTAATCTCAGCTATCTCGCACCGTATCGGCTTTGAGTAGATCTTACCACACACAGTTAACAGAAATCTATCAAGATCAACAGTGGTCATTGTCTCAAATTAGCCCGCCTCGTATCCATGTCACCGCCACTGTAGCAGTTACGTCAAATCGCAAGAACTAACGTATTTTTGTAAGCGAGGCAACATAAAGTAGTAAGTCATCAAGCGCCGACCACGATTCATCATCAGGTAACTGTTATATTAATTAAGTACCTAAATAATCAGTAACACTAGGGCAAAATATCAATTTGCACCACTACCGATAGCGACAGTAGATGTTGCTCGTGCGTCATGTAGATTATTACGCTCCAAATCGGCCATACACAAAGAAGCCACCCTATAACTGATTATAACTTCATAGGATATTTGCTTCGTGGCCCACACCATGGCGGCTAGAACGATAATCAGTACCAGTATCGTGTTTTACTGACAGTCGTTACGGATCGCTTTGTATTATTCCTATCGTATATGCTGAAGAAGAAGAAAGTGTAAAAAAGGGGGGTGAGCAAGTGGCAGATTGTCACCGATGTTGGAAAATGTTCGTGCTTTTCCGGCGAAGGCATACGCGAACTCGAACGTTTCACTAACGACGCAACTAATTATCTGGTCGACAAAGCGACACTACAACGCATCGAAAAGTAGTTGCACTGAATATTCTAGCCATAGCTTACCTACCTATTATGCTTCTAATGCCCCTATTATCCATTTTCCTGTTCACCAGGCCTCGTTTGCTGTTCTGACAGTTTCCACTGACGCAATCTAGTTGCGTGAACGTGCTGCTCCTGATGTTTACCGATTAATTACGCGTCCAGTAACAAACCGACAGCTTCATAAAACAAACGAAAGGACAAGAGAAAAAATCGAAGTCTACGAGACAGATCTACTCATATATATATATATATATGTTATCTATGAACGAGGATCTTAATCGTTATTATCCTGACTTGCGGTGTCCGCCGCCGCCGCCGCCGCCGTCTGGTGGCGCTCAGTAGTGGTGACGGCGCTGCGTATGATTTTTTACAAAGGCCGGGTCTATGACTACCAATAAAATCGTTGTCACCGGTTCTAAAATATCTGTTGTATGGACGCAACCAGACATCTCAGAACGGTGCCTCGCAACGTTAGTATATCCTTCGCGCAATGAACCTAAATGCATGCAAGAACATAGGCGCGGTTTTCGCAGTGCAGTGATTCGCAGATTTTATCTCATAGAAACTAGACCGAAATTATCCTTCTGGACCGCTGTAAGACAAGAAGGGCTAGGCGAAGATACGAAAGGATCATCGTTGCTTGTAGTTCATCATAATCATAGATGCTCGCGGGGGCAAATGACCCTCGAAGTAGTCCGCGTTGCATACAGTATGGGTATTTTGTTTTTTTTGTGTCCGATAGTTAACGGAAATGAGGTTAACGGAGATAGGGCTCTTCTGGGAGGTTAACGTTGAAAGAATTAGATACTAACAGTCTATCAAAAAGCCAATTTGTCACCAGTCACCTAATACACGAATGGGTATCTAAGATACTGCCTCGTGTCCGTTAAGATCTAAGCAAAGCCATCTGCTCCAGATGACGCCCATCACCGTTTTGTCAGCTGTTCATGTTCACCTCGTTGATTTTCCTGATGTACATTTTTAAGTCGGAGAACATCAACAGCGACCTAGCGCAACAGAATCGTTGACGTTCGTCATTAGCGAAACTCTGTAAACTATCGTAAACTTAAACTATCGTAAACTTGTTCTATCGATACTGATTCAACGTTACGGATAATTGAAGCCGCTAGT